ATATATATATATATATACACGACTACTAAATATCACCGACGATATTTAGTTTTAGTTAATTAATTAAAAGTTAATGCACTATATGATAATCTCTACAAAATTTGAAAGTTGGCATATGAATTCACAGTTGATAAGAAACTTTACTAATAATCACTAATATTACAAGAAAAACTAGGTAAATGGCTCATTTTGGTCACTGCTTTTTAGTAAATAACCAGATTTTTTTATTTAAAAGAATAACTGTTTTTTTTTTAGTTAATTAATTAAAAGTTAATGCACTATATGATAATCTCTACAAAATTTGAAAGTTGGCATATGAATTCACAGTTGATAAGAAACTTTACTAATAATCACTAATATTACAAGAAAAACTAGGTAAATGGCTCATTTTGGTCACTGCTTTTTAGTAAATAACCAGATTTTTTTATTTAAAAGAATAACTGTTTTTTTACAGTAATCTATGAGTAATAAACCATGATTTATCATTGATTTACCAATGATACATTATTATAAATCAGTCAATTATTGATTAAAATTAGTTAATCAGTGATAAATTATAGTAAATAAATAGCAAACTATATATATTTAGTCAATGATAAACCGTCAAATCAATAAATAATAAATCATGAATTAATACGTCAACAATTAATTATTTCAAAAACAACCATTTTCCTAATCTTACAAACATTCGACAATTTACTCAAAAATAGCTTAAAAACGGCCATTTTTACACATCACAAAATAATACACAACATTTCTCTATACAAATATATTGTCCTAACCACATTTGTGTAGTTTCTAATTTTCTTTACTAACATTTGGCATGAAGAAAACGTATAATTTGCGCAAGAAGATCGTGCATGAGAAAACAGGACATGGTAGTTTCACATGTCGCATGGCTTAGATATCCAATTAATGTATGGTAGTAATATTTGCTTAAATAGAGCTGGCAAGACCCCAATAACTTGGGGTGTGTCACATGTTTCTTCATGTGTTAATAATTCTACGCCAAAAAGGCCTGGATTTGTCACAAGAAAAATTGCAAAAGATCTGTACTTCTTCAAGGCTATCTAGCTATAGGCACAATAAAAATCATAGACCCATCATGTAAAAGTTTTATTTTTGTTTTGACATATAAAAAAGAGCAATATTAGGGACACTTAGGGGATGTTTGGTTGAAGGATTCAAACCATAATTTGAATCATGGTTCATAATTTGTTATAGTATTTTCTCTCATAAAAAAATACACGTAATCCATGAACCAAACGTCTCCTTACTCAAATTTTAACTTTTGTGTACGAACTGACATGATATGTGAGTTGTTATCTTTTTATTAGTAGATGTAATCTTTTATCATTAATTAACATGATAATATTTTAAACACCCACCAATGTAAAAATGACAACTCATACACCACATCAATTGATACATAAGAGTTAAGATTTGAGTCAGATGTCCCTACCATTATTCATAAAAGAATGTAAAATTAAGTATCTTTGTGTAACAAGATCAGTATTGGTGTTTATAATATGTATTCATTAATTTAGAATACAATATCACTTATTTCAAAAAAAAAAAAATAAATAAAGAATAAAGGAAGCATACATAACATTTTTTCCTAATATTTTAAGTCTCATTGAAGCCATTGCCAGCACACATATGTGTTATTTGGACAAGGAGATTTAAGTTTCAATGCTAAGAAATAAAAAAGTATAAATAACAGAAATTTTATTTATTATATTTACATATTTTTGAATGCTTACCTTTTAAGGATGGAAACAACACGATTTGAAAAATTTAAGAAAATCATAGCTTTTAAAGCCTCTTTAAAAATCGTTATATAATCTTAAGGTTTGTAAAAAGGGGAGGACAAGAAAAGAAGCAGAAGAAGAAGATGATGAGAAGAAACAAATTCTGAGTTGTTGGTTCATTATTTTCGTGAAAATTAGTTAGGAATGACATCATAAACATTTTTGCGATCTCGTATATAATGTTATTAAAATGTTATAGGAAATATGTTCATCTCAAAGGTGTTTTGAAATCCACATTTAAAAGATCCTGCAAATAGCAATTTTGTGGGGATAATGATAAAAATATTTCCCATATTTAATTGAAATGCAAAATTTACCTTTTCTAACGATTTTTTTTTGTGGTAATTTATAAAATAAAATTGCGCTTATTGGGATTATTCTCCGTATCTTTCTTATCATACAAAATTAAGCGATAATCGTGAAGATCAAGCAAAATTAGTTTAGGAAAAGACACAAATACTCTTGATAAAAAAGTTATGGCACTTTAAAGAAAAACTCCTAAAGACTTTAGTTTTCAATTTTGCTGATATTTGAGATAAATAATTAAGTTTGATTTTTTTAATAGAACTCACGATATTCAACAAAATTGTTGTATTTTTTTTTAAAAAAAAAAATACAAAGGCGTTGTCTTTAAAATCAAACATATAATTTTTTAAAAGAAGTAAGGAACACATAGTTTCATTTACACATGACAAAAAAAAAAAAAACAAAAACAAAAATTTATATGAGTGTCACCCTTTTTTTGATTTTGTTGTTGCCGTGTATCCTATCTCTTTAATGGCTCTTTAATGAATGTATTTCATTACCGTTTAAGAAAAAGTTAATACGGTTAATTTTGATTAATTATTTTCACATTAACAATAGATTTTTTGTGATTAAAAATCAAAAGGGTTTATTTTCTGGGATTATAAGAACATACAAGATAATCTCAATGTTTCAAAGTTAGATGATTATCTTTTTTTTTTTTTAAATTTTGATTAAATACATGTAAAGTTTGTCATTATCTTTTTTTTCCCCTCTCATCATTAGAAGAAAATCTAGAGTTTGAGTTTTTTTTTTCTTTTCTTTTTTTTTTTTCTAGGGAGAGAGAATTTTACTATTTCATGAGGAAGAGATCAAGGGAAGACTCATCTTTTGTTTTATCTGCCATTACCTTTTCACATTTATCATCATAATTGCTAAATGTGAAATCAATTATGTCGTTCATATTTGATTGAGAAAATATTGATCAACAAAAGAGAAACAAAACGATTACATGTGATCATCACGCGTTGTCACATATCCAATTTGGTTCACCCTATTAGCAACATTCCGTTTTTCTTTAGAAGGCTCTAGTTTCATCTGGACCGTAGACCTGTGGGACCCATCACTCAACTTCTGACATACGGCTGAGATTTCCCTAAATCCTTGCTGTCAAAGGCTTTGACTTTCCAGTTTCCCTTTCCCAACATACAAGGAAACAAATCAGTATCACAATCAAAATCAAAGAGAATTGGAAAAAAAAAAAGAAAAAAAAAAAAAAACTGCCAAAACGTGGTACTGAACAAGGGAACGAGGTTGGACACGTGGCAGAAACCCATTTCCACACTGGATTTCCCAAATATTAATTTATATCTTTAAAATTTAAGATTCTATACAGAGATTTTACTGCGACCATCAGATCAAGTCAGTTATGGGAAATCCAAAATTCATTAAACTTTCCTTAAACGGTTCAAAAAATTCAATGCCCATTAATCCTCTATTTTAACCACGGTTAACTTACCCAACTACCCCTTAACCCTAGTCCACTTCCCTACTATATATTCATGTCTCCGCCACCCTTTTGCTTTTCCATGCTTTCGTTATAATTTTGCTCCACTGCTTTTTTGCACAAGTTTTCAGCTTCTGTGCTTTTGTTAGCTTTGTTTTGGAAGAGGTAACAACAACGTTAATTTCAAGTTTTGTGCTTTTTGTTACTCTGTTAATTTCAATCTTTCATCAAATTTTTTCATGTATATATTTCATAGCAAAAATAAATAATAGTAAATAAACAGCTTCAAACCCTTTATTTCTTTCATCATTCTCTTAAAAGCTTTTTTATTTTTTTTTACCGTTAAATTCTGGTTCTTATCTGATATTATTGAATTGGGTTTTGCATAAAAAACTTGCTATTTTCAAGTTTTTGAGCAAAACTTTTGAAGGGTTTTGATTCTTTCATAGTTTTTGACACGTCTTTCCCTTTTTTTGCATTATCTTTCCACAGACATGCCGAGTGCAAGCCATGATCAATCTGACAATTCAGAACCGTTCGTCGAAGTGGACCCCACCGGCCGGTATGGCCGGTACGACGAGCTCCTAGGGTCCGGCGCGGTGAAAAAGGTTTACCGAGCTTTCGATCAAGAAGAAGGAATCGAAGTCGCGTGGAACCAAGTCAAGCTGCGCAACTTCACCAACGACCCGGCGATGATCGACCGCCTCTTCTCGGAGGTTCGGCTTCTGAGGTCGTTGAAGAACAAGAACATCATTGCTCTTTACAGTGTTTGGAGGGACCGAGAGAGAGGCACGCTTAATTTCATCACGGAGGTCTGCACGAGTGGGAATCTGAGGGAGTACAGGTTGAAACACAGGCACGTTTCGATGAAGGCCTTGAAGAAGTGGTCCAAGCAAATTCTTAGAGGATTGGAGTATTTGCATAACCACGAGCCTTGTGTCATTCACAGAGATCTAAATTGCAGCAATGTGTTTGTCAATGGAAATATTGGCCAGGTAATAGCAAAAATATAGTTTTTTTTTTTTTTCCTTTATCAAATGCCAACTTAGTTAGGATGTGAATTTCTATCCTTTACTTTATGGAAAAAAAAAAAGGGCTTTTTTGTTTTAAAATAAAAAATTGGAGAAAAAAGAGAACCCTCTTGAGTGAATATGAAGAAAGAGAGGCCCATTTTGATTATTTAGTGGTATTATCATGATGGTGTACTTAATTCTTAGGAGTTTATTTTATTGACTTTCTAATGTGACTAATAATTTTTGGGTTCATCAAATTGGATCTATTCATTTGCAGGTTTGCTAATTTTTCTTCTTTCTTGACTAATTATAAAATAGGTCAAGATTGGTGACTTGGGATTGGCTGCCATAGTGGGGAAGAGCCACTCAGCACATTCTGTGCTAGGGACACCAGAATTCATGGCTCCTGAGCTATATGAGGAAGATTACACAGAAATGGTGGACATTTACTCATTTGGGATGTGTGTCCTAGAAATGGTGACCTTGGAGATCCCTTACAGTGAATGTGACAATGTTGCCAAGATATACAAAAAGGTGACCTCTGGGGTTAGGCCACATGCCCTTAGCAAGGTCCGGGACCCGGAGGTTAGGGCCTTCGTCGAGAAGTGTCTCGCGCAGCCCAGGGCGAGGCCCTCCGCCACCGAGCTCCTCAAGGACCCCTTCTTTAATGAAGTTGATGATGACGATGATGAAAATGAAGAGTACTTGCCAAATTGTTCATGACTAATAAGTTTGTGTTGTTTTTGAACAATATGGGGCGCAAGTATTAATATTTTATTTTATAAGATAATATTAATATTTGATTTTTCTTTTGGTTGTTTGTGATGATTTGGAGGGTCATTTGGGTTATGACCTTGAATATTTCTTCTTCCTTGAATTTTAGTTGGGGAGAGTAAGAATTAAATTTGTATTTGAATACTTTTTGGGAGGGAAGACTTGGGGTGTGTTTGAATTGGGGAAGGTTGGTGTTGTGTTTTTGTTTTTTATTTTTTTTTTTTGTACATAGACCTTTCACACTAAAATATAAATTGTTTTTAATTAGTAAGGTGAAATTTGAATGATCTTTCTTGTGGAATTTATCATATATTATATTGCCTCCATATTTTGTCCTTGTTCTATACAACTTTATCTAGTGAATAAAATATAATTAAAGTCGTTTTAATTCCCACAAATTATTCTAACCAAATAGGTTTTTTTTTTTTTTTTTTTTTTTTTTTTTTTTTTTTTTTTTTGCAATGTTTCTTGCAATGTTTTTGACTTCAAAGTTCAACCCTTAAGAGATCATGTTTTTTTTTAGGCGATTGAAGATCCCTCTTGTTGATATATGGTAAACAGCCAAAAGAGAGTTTGAGAAGTCAAGTCAGGGAAAAGAAAAACAAAAAACAAAAAAAATAAAAATAAAAGGGAAGTCAAACGTTTGAATAGCTGTTAACAACCTTACAATCATGTATAAGCAAAAGGTTGTTCTTGTAATTTTCTCCTTTTTTTTTTTTTTTCTTTTTTCTTTTGAAAGAGAGAAAATTTTCAAAAGTGGCTCTTGGCGTGTCGAAAAGGAAAATTATGAGAAGTGTGGGAAGGGAGTGTGAGCCAGAGACGCAAATTTCACTTTGTCTTGTGGTCGTGCTGTCAACACTTTTGTTTTGTTGGGATAAAAAAATAAAATAAAAAAAAGAGAGAAAAAAAAAAAAAAGGTTTTGCTGTTGCTTAACTGGCACTTGGCGGCCGCTTTCATTTTCCAAAAGTAAAAGGGTCTCTCATTATTTTGTATCAACCTCTATCAATGCCTTTAGGTCTTACAAAATACATAAAAGAAGAAAAATTACGGTCCGTTCATTTCATCAATTTGAGTTTTATTATAGTAAAATTTTTTTAAAAACATATATATTTAATTCTTTTTATTATAATAAAAAATTATCATATAAAATCATATCTCAACTTAAATTAAAAACTCGAATTAATGAACTAAGCGGGCTATATACATAAAACATATGTATATATAATATATGTATGTATGTGTGTGTTTAGGTACATATATACTCTATATACGTGTGTACTGTCTGATACCAAAGCATATATATTAATAAGGCAATGTATTTAGTTATTACTTGTTAGTCTATCAAATTGAAAGCATTAAGAGGTTGTTTGGTTGGGGAATTCGTCCCCTGATTCGAATCATGGTTCGTGGTTCGCTACAGTATTTTCTCTCATAAAAAATACACGTAAATCGAAAATAATTCTAATCCATGAACCAAACGTTTCCAATAAAAAGAGGAAAGACATGATGAATAGTGAAAATTGGAGATCAGAAGGTAACAATGTCAAGAAAAGAGATGAGTAAAATTGTTCTATATTATTTTGTAGTACCCTTTAATAACCATGCTCTTAGCACCTCTCAAAAGTTAGGCTGCACTAGTTAAGGATTATCTTCTAATTTTTTAAATCATATTTATGTAAGTAGTTTTTTTTTTTTTTTTTTTTAATAATTTAACCTGTTTTTTCTATAAGATAAAAAAGAGGGGGGAAAAAAAATCTCCTGCTTGTGGCCAGGCTAGCTCTATCGATGATCCATCCACTTAGGCAGAGTTGGGAAAAAAGGAAAAAAAAAAAAATATATATATATATATATATATATATTAAAGGGTAGGAGACTAGTGATTTCAGTTAGGTGGGACAATCTTGTCTGATCTCAATTATTCTTTGTTAATTTACGTGCCCATTAAGGAGACAAAATTAAATACTAATTTGGCGTTCAACACAACCACAAAACCTACCAGTAATCTTAGTATATAAACATGTATATATCACTTTTAGGTAAAATTGAGTTTTGAAGGCACAGATATATCCATGTTTGGTCTAGTAAATTGGTCTTTTTGTAAAGTTTTCATAAAATCGTGTATGTTACTCTGGTGTACATGTATTTATCCTCATACTTAACATATATATATATATATATATTATCTGGTAGTGTACTTCCAAATAACCAACCAAGCAATGCTACATCCGAAAGTGCCAAATTATCCTTAGCAAATGTTGACTTCTCCTTAATTATGATAACTTTGCAAGTACCCTTTAAACTAAAGACCAATCTAAAATCATGCAAAGTCAGTATTGTGATGATTTTCACCAAAGTAAACATCCCGTTTGAGCGTATGGAGTCTAATTATTTATTTCTCGACGTAAAAATATACACAGATCGACTTTTGTCAAGGGGTACTTTGGGGTTTTCACACTTGAAAATTTTATTTGTGTTTTTCTTAGAGAATAATCAACCAAGCAAAACTACATTGAGATTGAAACTGCCAAAATATGCCTCAGCGAATATTGATTTCTCCTTGATTATGATGTTTTTTGCAAGTACCCTTATAATCCAAAAGATCAAGCGTAAATGACTAGAACAAGCCAAAAAGATTGTTTCTTTTTTCTTTTTTTCAATGAAAAGCCAAAAAGATTGTTACAACTTGGCAAAGATTCACCGGTAGTGTCATTTCAGATGTGTCAACTTTGAAAGGAAAATTCCATTTGATATGCTTGTATGATTCTGTTTATGACATTGGATGTAACGATTATGCAAATGTTTATAACATTGGTTATTCCAATATTGAAGAATATACATCCGTGAAACTTTGTACTAAACGGAAAAAAATATGTCGTTATCTCACATAGCTTGACAAAAAATAGAATCTTAAGAAACGTTTAAACTAACCAATATAGAATAAAAGTATAATGCAATGCTTGTTCATAGAGTTTCTCATGAACCAAAAAAAATGAAGAGCAGAAGAGGATTCAATCTGGTTATGAGTGTTGTGATCCTTTTCCTTCCGGTCGCGATCGGTATGAGCAGCGAGTCATCTGAATTCGAGTCGTTGGTTCGGTTTCTTAAAGCTGTTTATCCTCGGAATATGTTGAAATTAGGCCATGATGGATCAAGACAGAATCCCTGCTTGGACAAGTGGAGGGGTCTAAAATGCAACTTACAAGCCAATACCATAGTTGGAATTATGCTTGAGAAATCCAATCTTGGCGGTGTAATTGATGCAGATTCCTTGTGCAAGCTTCCGAATCTGCGAGTTCTTAGCTTAGCCGAAAACCAAATTCGAGGAACTATTCCGAGCTCCATGTTGGGCTGCAGAAAGCTGAGGTACTTAAATCTTAGCAGCAATCTCCTAAGTGGGAGGATTCCAAGTGCTCTAATCAAAATGAAAAATTTAAGGAAATTGGACATCTCCAAGAATCATTTTGAGGGTATCATTCCAATTTCCGAAGACGAATTCAAGCATCTAAATGTGTTATCCATGAAAGCAAGTGCATTGGAAAGTAGTACTGTGGACCGGGAAGAGTCGACGGACCAAAATAATGCGACCCCAGGGAGCTCAAAGAATAGCCAATCTAAAAAGATTTGGTCTCGGCAGTGGATAATCTGGATACTACTAATTCTTGGGATCGTTTTTTGTCTGTTGATCGTGTACTTTGTCGGGAAGAAGGCGTCGAAGCTGTCGAAGGAGAAGGCGATTCTGAAGGCACTTCGAAACTCTCCGAGCAAAACGCCCCTAACCAAGGCACCAAAGGAAGTGAAGCCAGAGAAAAGGCTCTCAGAGCTTGTGTTCTTTGTTGAAAAGCAAGAGAGGTTTAAGTTAGAGGACCTTCTTGAGGCCACAGCTGACTTGAGAAGCCAGAGTTTATGTAGCACTCTTTACAAGGTAGCACTCAAGAACAATGCCATTTATGCAGTCAAAAGGTTGAAGAAATTGGAAATGCCATTTGAGGAGTTTGACCAAATAATGAGACAGATAAGTTATGTGAAGCATGAAAACATTTTACCTCTTGTTGCTTACAGTCATAATCCTGAAGAGAAACTTCTCATCTATAAGTTTCAAAATAAAGGGAGTCTACTAAACCTGCTTGAAGGTAAGTTCTTTTCATATCAGAACTGTATCATACTTGTATTTGTTCAAAATATAACATCTACACAATTTACATGAATTAAAGTAATGGAAAAATTATACTGGAACTCCTTGACTTTTATCAATATTATAGTGATTCTACTGTGATTGAACTTTAATTACAGTGACACTCTCTTGACTCTTAAAATTTCTAAACATCAGAGGATAGAGATATCTTTATAATATTGATAAACATACTTTCAAATTGTACTATATCATTTAAAAAATTAAAGTATCTTTAACTAATTTTTTCTTACTTTGATGTTTAAATCTATTAAATGACGTGTTCCATTATGATTGGTTATACACCAATTGAGACACTAAATTTTAGACAATAGATTTGAGTCTGTTGACAAACCTAATGAGAAAACTTCAAAATTAATTTGAACCCCAGAATTAGAAATGTTCTTAGTTCTGAGGCCATTTTTTTTTTTTTTTTTTTTGTATATTTGCAGATTATATTGAAAGTAAGAGGGATTTCCAATGGAAACTTAGGCTGTCCATAGCAGAAGGAATTGCAAAGGGTTTGAAGTTCATATATGAGAATCCAAATGATCAAGAGATAATCCCTCATGGGAACCTCAAGCTTTCAAACATTCTCTTGGATGAAAATGATGAGCCACTAATAAGTGAATTTGGCTACACAAGGTTTCTAGACCCCAAGAGAAGTGGCTTCTGTGGCACCAAAGGCTACACACCACCTGAGAAGGGCTTGACAGAAAAGAGTGATGTCTTCAGCTTCGGCGTGATTCTCTTAGAGCTATTGACCGGCAAATCGGTGGAGAAAACCAGTATAGACCTTCCTAAGTGGGTGAATGCCATGGTAAGGGAAGAGTGGACTGGTGAGGTCTTTGACAAGGAGTTGGCCAAATCTGCAGCTCAGTGGGCCTTTCCTTTGCTGAATATCGCCCTCAAGTGTGTGTCATACTTTCCCGAAAACCGTCCAACCGTGGTAGAGGTATGGGAGAAGATAGAAGAGGTCATGGCTGCAGAACAAGACTATTGCATGACACCATTGTCTTGTCATATAGAATGTCGCCAAGATTGTGTTCTACACAGCCTCATACCTGAGACATGGGACACTCCTGGATCAAATTATTGAGGAATATCCGCATATCTTCTTTGGAGTTTTGGATTGCAAATCAGTAGGATCAGAAATTTCCGGTTGAGTACAATAAATAATCAGTGTTGAATATGCATGTGCTTTGTTCATATTCATGTAGCGAAATTTGGTGTTTGTTTTCTTTGTACCAAAACAAAATGCATACACTTTTTGCTCTTACCTGTGAGGAACTAACTAACAAAAATGTGCAAAATAATCTCCTAACTATGACTTCAAAAGGAGTCAAGCTAATTTGAGAAATATGTATGCACCAACTTATAAATACCACTCTATATATAGGTTTTGTCTACAGTCCTTTCTATGAGACAGTCCCTCTATGTAACATGCAGAAGTGAAAAACGTAATACAACAATCATAACACATATAACACATAACATTAACATTGGAGAAATATAGCTAAATTTTTTTGGTGTTACACTTACTCACCGTTAGTATTAATTTAATGATTGTCATGCGACATTTTTCACTCTCATATGTAGATGATGAGGAGATATTTGCAATCTCCATTATCACATGTTTAGGTCCACAAAAGTTTCTCTTGGTGGTTTCTTGTAGAACACGCAAGCTACAGCCAAAATTACGTTACATGAAGAGCGTTTCCATGATGTGTATATACAGCAACACCATCCAAGTTTGAAGACCACGTGACGTGTTACATATTTTAAGGATCTTTTACAACATGAGAGTCAATTTTTAAGAAAATAAGTGGTGGGAAATTTAGGGTTAGCCTGGATAAGCACTCATCCAAGGAGATGGTTAAATGTTTGCATCAACAACCAAGAATGAAGCAAAAAAAAAAAAAAAAAAAAAAAAAAAATTCACAAAGTGGGTATGCTATCAAATCCATGCCATGTCATTTCATAATATCAAACTCTAGAGAAACTGATATCACCTATGCTAGCTAAACACACGAAAAGAATCTTCAATTTGGTGTCAACATTACGTTGGGAAATATAATTTTACTTTTTGAAACCGCTTATAAGAGCCAGAGGAAATGTAGTAGTTTGTGGTTGAAATTGTAATGCATAATAGGGAATTTTTAGAGTAAGATATATTCTTATTAATTACAAGTAAATACTGTTATTTTGGTTATTGGAATAAGTTTTTAAGGGCATTGGTTGAAAACATAACAATTCTTACCGATAGTTAAAAAAGACAAATCTTATTATAAAAATTCTCTGTATAATAAGAAGAGTCTTTGCCAATAGAGTACAATTTTAAACCGTTAAAATTTTTATCAAGTGAGTTAACTTGTCATAATTTTATTAATGTAGGGTCCGTTAGTTCGCTGATTCGAGTTTTTAATTCAAGTTTAGAAGTGACTTTATGTGAGAGCTTTTTACTATAGTAAAAAAGTTAGATGTAACTGTTTCTGATAACTTTTTACTGTAGCAAAACTCGAATTCTAAACTCGAATCAGTAAAATGAACAAGACCGTAATATGATATTTCACACCGGCTCTAAAAAGATCTCCAATAATGTAATCAATAAATTTAAGCTAGTTTCTTCCATCCCCAACCAACCATGAGGTGTAAACGTGCTGAAAGGGGAAAGGCTAGAAAACAGCTATAAGTCATTGGGTGAAATTTCCTGATCTATGTGATATTGACTTCAAGGCTTTTAATGGTTGAGATCTGTCTTATAACTCCATAGGTAAAGGTTGTGTTTGGTATGTTTACCAATTAAGGGTTGTGTCAACATCTAAAGTACAATCATTTTTTATTTACCCTATTCACCATAATTTAGGAAAGTCTCCAATTAATTCTTTCATGGTAAATGTGCCCCCCATGTATTTTTTTCCTCCTCCATTTTGTAAATTTTCAAATATATGCAAATACATAGAGGGGTTGAAATTATTAAAGGTTGAGGGAAAGTTACATTATTTAATTATGTATGGCATGGTATTGTCATTTCTACATTAAAATGATGATGACCACAAAAAGAAGAAGACAAGGCTAGTCTGAGAGAGAGAGAGAGAGAGAGAAATAAAGAGAGAGAGAGAGAGAAATAAAGAGAGAGAGAGCAGCCATATTATTGTAAGGGCATTGACATTTTTTACAGTTGGCTTCAGCCAAATGTTTTGACAAAGTTGTGCAGATAATATCATATTAATGTGTAATACCAAATCAAGACATAATTTGCAAATCTCTGTATTCTCTCTCTCTCTCTCTCTCTCTCATCTTATAGCCTAGAGATAATCGAGGTTTAAACAACCTAAAACGGGTGGATTATGTGGTAGAGTATAAAAAAAGAATATCCACATAATACAATACGGTTTTTAATCTTTAGATCGAATCGTATTAAATAAAATATGATAAATTTAATGAAACCTAATAAAAATTTTATGGTCAGAAACTGTCACACTGCTAGGTATTTTATCATATGATATTAAAAATTAATTTTCCCCCTAAAAGAATGTGCATATTTTAAGTGGAACTTTTTTAAAGGGATCTAATTATTGCTCATATATATATTTATATTGTTTCTCTTTCTAAAGCCATTTTCATGTTGGAGCAGATGTTATTTGAGCTTTCTTATTAGTTAACTTTACTTTTGAATTATTCTAACTGATCAGGCTTCCAGCTTGGATAATGTGAGTGATTATTGATTAAACACCAATTATAATTCATTAAACTAATGAAAGTTAACCTTGCTCAAGCCCCATGTTTTACCTATTTGGTAAGGCTTCCTATTTATGTAAATGTAAATATATGCCAGGGCTCTTACATATATATATGTGTGTGTTAGTTTAGGAGAATAAAATGCTTAGATCATGATTAGGCAAACCAATGTGATAGAGAAAAAATATCATGTAAATTACAATACCAAATGGGATATTTTTGGTAATATATAAAAGACAACTTGAAAAAAAATGTTTGAACCGGGGACTTTCTATTCAGTATTATTAATGAGTTGGCTACTTGGCTCATGATGGTATCCATTTACGTACTACTTTGGACAAGTCAATATATTATATATATATATATTATGAATATTATTCCATATATATATAAATATAATTCCTCATTATATTTTGAGTTGTTTCCTTCTAAATTGCTTGAGGCTGAAGTTGTGGATTCCACAAAAAGGTTGTAAACGTGTTACCATCATCTTCATCCCAAGTTTTGTTGATATTCTTGGTATTAGTTAAATAAAAACCAACATTTTTTTTTCCTTTTTTTTTTTTCTTTTACTTATCCTCTAGGTTACATCAAGTTTCAAGTGTTGGTCATGAGCTCAAATTATTGAGAGAAAATTAATTTCATTAATAAATAAATAAATCAATCAAACCCCTACATATGTCTATTGCTTTGAAGGGGTCTCAAATTGCTATCCCTTCAATGAAAAGTTGCCATGGTTTAACAATCTTCTAAATATCTATTTATTATATATGTAAAAGGAAAATGAGTGGCCAATTTTCTAATTTTGTAGTCGCCACAAAATACTCCATAATAAGATACTTCAACTTGAGGTCCACTATTAAATAAAACGAAAGGAATTAACCCACAAATACAATTGGTGCCAAATTTGTGATTGAATAAAAAAAAAAGGAATGGTTTTAATCCATTTGATACCAAAATATACTATTTCCCTCACAATTCTCTAACAAGAGAGGGGAAAGGAAAAAAAAAATAGTGATAAAGAAAATAAATGAAAAAAGAGGAAGAAAAAGTTGAGTTATACTCAAGTGGTCCAAAAGTATGTTGTTCCATAAGACTGAAAAAAAAAAAATAAAAAAAAATAAAAAAATAAAAAATAAATAAAAATAAAAAAAATAAAAAAAAGAGAGAGGCCAAATTGAATTATATTTGGTGGAACACATGCAAGTCCAAAAACAAAGTGTACGTAAATTGCTTTCTTTATGCTTATGTTGTATATTATGGCTTTGTGGTAACTGACTGGTTTGGTAATGTAATGTTGTACAACTTTTTTTTTTTTTTTTTTATTTTTGATTTTTTTTTTTTTTTTTTTTTTTTTTTGAGGAGAAGAGTTTGAAAGTGTCTGGACAATTTTTTTTTTTAAATTTAGAATTTCTTTTTTTTTTAGTTGAGTTTTTTTAAGCAAAGAAAGATCATCATCTCCTGTCATCTCTCTCTTTGGCTCCTCCAAATATTCTTACACCAGAGGATTTGCCAGTCTTTCTCTCTCTCTCTATTTATAAATTGCACCTTACCCATCACAGCTTCAAATTCCATTTCTTTTTATTTAATTAAGGAGGAAGTGGAATAACCAAGAAAGATAGAAAAGAAGAGAGAGAGAGAGACAGAGAGAGAGAGAGAGAGGATGAGAGAGCACATCTTCTGTTCTCATTACAAATATTCCTCTTCTTAGATCTTAGTTTCCTCCACTTTCTCATCTGGGTCCTCCTCAAATGGTAGTTTTTCTCTCTCTTTTTGATTCTCCATAATAAAGTTTGCTTCTTCTTTTTGTGTTTTTTTATTCTCTCTCTCGATCTCTATTTGGTTTGGTCGCTTCTGATCTCTATTTGCTTTTTCTGCTTAATTTTCTATTTGTTGGGTTTGTCAGGAAATCTGGGTCATGTTCTGATTGGTGCAAAAAGGATCCGATGTTCCAAGATTGAATTTTGACAAATCCCAGTTTGTCTTTGATCGGAGCTCCAATCTGGGTTCTGTCTAAATCTTCAGATAAGGTAAATTCACATTTCTGATTGCTTTGTTTTTGCCGTTGTTGATGAAAAGTTATAGTTTTTTCATTTGCAAACAGCATGAATTTTGTGTACTGCTCATGCTTGCAATCTAGATTGGTTCTGGAGCTGCAAATTTTGCCTTCTCTGAATATATTTCAAATGAATTGTGAATTTTCTTTGGTGGGTTGTTGTGATTGGATTTAATTTGAGCTGAATTGATTTGGGTTGTTGAATCTGCAATGATTGGTTGTAGAGAAAGATGGAATCAGATCTTGGTAAGCTCTTCATTGGTGGGATTTCTTGGGACACAGATGAAGAACGGCTTAAGGAATATTTTAGGAAGTATGGAGAGGTTGTGGAGGCTGTGATCATGAGAGACCGCGCGACTGGCCGTGCTCGTGGCTTCGGATTCGTTGTTTTCGCGGATCCTGCCGTTGCTGAAGGAGTCATTATGGATAAGCACATGATCGATGGCCGCACAGTGAGTATCTTCATTTCGATTTATTTATATCAATTTGAATTGATTGGATTTTGTTGAATTATATTGGAAGTTTTAGGTTGTTTATTGTTCATAAATGCGCAATTTTTGTCCATTTTGATTAATGCCTGACAGTTTTGTCTTCTCTTTCTCCAGTTTTGAATCAATGAATTTGAAACTTAATGCAGCATCAGTTGTTTAGAATCTGCATTGGGAAAAAAAAGAGTTAAAACACCCTTTCTGGCTAGTGAGAATTAAAGATGTGGTCCATTGTTTAATTCAGTTACTGCTGTTTCCAATTTAGGTTGAGGCAAAGAAGGCTGTTCCTAAGGATGATCAGCATATTTTGAACAGAAATGCTGGTGGAACCCAAGGTTCTCCTGGTCCCGGCCGCACGAGAAAGATTTTTGTTGGAGGGTTAGCATCGACTGTCACCGAAAGCGACTTCAAGAAGTACTTTGATCAGTTTGGTACGATAACCGATGTGGTAGTGATGTATGATCACAACACACAAAGGCCAAGAGGTTTTGGCTTCATCACTTATGACTCGGAGGATGCTGTGGACAGAGTGCTGCACAAAACCTTTCATGAGCTGAATGGTAAGATGGTTGAGGTCAAGAGGGCGGTTCCAAAAGAGCTATCCCCGGGGCCCAGCCGTAGCCCTCTGCTAGGATACAACTATAGTTTGGGTAGGGCCAATAGCTTCTTAAACAGTTATGCGCAAGGTTATAATCTTAGTCCCATTGGAGGTTTTGGAGTAAGGATGGATGATAGATTCAATGCAATTTCTAGTGGTAGAAGCGGGCTTTCTCCATTTGGCAATACTGGTTATGGTTTGGGTATGAATGTGGAGCCGGGTTTGAGCCCGAGCTACAGTGCAAATTCTAACTTTGGCAATAGTCTAGGCTATGCAAGAATGTTAAGTCCCTATTACAGTGGCAATGCAAACAGGTACAATACCCCAATTGGTTACAATGTGAGTAATGGAAGGAGCAATTCTGTTTTAAGCTCCACCTCTCGAAATGTCTGGGGAAACGGAGGCATTAACAATGCCACGAACCCAGGTAGCCCTGGGCCGTACTTGAGCTCTGGAAGTGGGAGTTTGGGCATGTCATTCGGAAATGGTGGAGCGAATTGGGGTGCTAATACTGTTTCGGCGCAAGGTGGAGGAGGTGCTTCTGGCTATAGTGGTAGTAGCTATGGGAGTGGAGATAATAGCTTTGGGTTCGGAGACGGGGGATATGGAAGAAACACCGGTACAGGTGTAACCCTAACATCATCATACCCTGCATCAACTGCTGGTTATGAGAGGTCTTACGGAGACCTGTATCATAGTGGTTCGGTTTATGGCGATTCAACTTGGCGCTCCACCACTCCTGAGCTAGATGGTTCTAGCACATTCAGTTATGGGCTTGGCAATATAACTTCAGATGCTGCAGCCAAAAGTTCTGAGGATTATATTGGAAGCTACAGTGTTACCAGTAGACAACCAAATAGAGGTAAAATTGCAGACTTGATAAGAGTGATTTTTGTTATTCTTCCTTGAACCTTTTGTGCTTTAATTAATCTAAGGAAATTAGAATCTTAAAAACTTTAATTTACTAAAAAGGACTTATTTTCTAGTATTTGCAAGTATACTTCTATAAAGCTATATACTTTTCTGATGTGAATGTTGATGATTATGTATAGTGATTGATTCATATGAAAAGGTAGTAGTTGAGAATTGAACAGTTCTTAGTTGGATCATTAAAACCTTGATTAAGTCACTACATGGATTTACAAATTGAAAACATATCGGTTAATGCCATAAGTGGTCCTTGAATTTTACTAGTAATCCCACTTTAGTCTCTGACTTTTAAAACGTCCCAAACTTAAACCCAATCTATCTATTTGTTTTAGTTTTAGTCCTTTTCAATCAGTTGAGTGTTAAAAACGTAACAAAATATAGATAATGTGTTGTTTTACATTTTTGCATTAGAACAAATGTGTATTCCGTGTTTTATTAGTAAAATACTATTTTCTTTCAGCATCATGTGCATATTTTTTATCTGTCCCTTTATTTTTTTTTTTCTTGCACTCAACTATTGAAAAGGGTTAAAACCAAAAGAAGCTGATAGATCGGGGACTCTTTGGGACGTTTTATAAGTCAAGGGCTAAAGTGGGAATGACAGCAAAATTCAAGGACCATTCGTGAGATTAACTCTAAATGTTTAATATGTGTTTACAATATATGGTTATGGTTTGTCATGGTGTTTACTCTTTCTTTCTTTTTTGTTGTTTGATATGTTTTATTCAGGTATTGCTGCTTAGGAGAATTGTTGTTTGCATAAGTCATGAGGCTATATAGTAGGTGAAGAGAAAGCATTGAAAGCTTTGTGAATTTTTATACATCTCCCTTTATTATGATATATTCAGCTTATGAGGAAACTGATCATATAGTTCTAACGGGGATTCCTTGATTTGAAGTATACATATTCAGACAGACACAGAGAGAGAGAGACTGAGAGAGAAAGCAGATTACAAAAGGGATTTTGTGTAAGGTTTGAGGTGTTTTTTTTTTCCCTTGTTTAATCTTTTAGGTTTCTTTCTTGAAATTTGATTTGAGGTGTAAGATCAGATTGCGGGATATAAATATACTCTTGGAAGTATTGTGCATCTACAGAAGGACAAGCCAGCCTTAGTCTTGTTAAAAAAAAAAAAAAAAAAGGAAAAGAAAAGATAGGATATCGTTATTATTATTATTTTTTAATTCTGTAATGCCTAGCAAAGTTGCTGGCTTTTGCCCACATTTCTTCTTCTTTTTGTGGGATTTGTCCTCTCAAAATTGTATGGTGAGGTTTTTCATTTCTTGTGTGAAACAATGGAAGGATGCCCATATGGGATCAAATAAGTCTTACTAGAACACTTTGATGATTCTTTTTATTATTATTATTATTGGACAGTATATTAAACAAAGCTTATACTTCTTTTGTGTGTGAAACTTAATGTTCTTTCTAGAATTACACATCTTGTTTTTTTTTTTTTTGGTTATTATTAAAACTTTTTTTTTTTTTTTTTACTAGCTTGCCTCTTATTTCTTTGCTTTTCACAATGATTCACAAGGCTTAAACTCTTGCATGTTATGTAGAGCTTTTCTTTACTTCCTATTTATTCATTTTATTAACACTTCTAGCCTATATAATAATGTTGACCAAATAATTTCAAGAGAAACTTAAAAAATGTGCCCCCTTAAACTCATTTAGCCCCTATTTATTTTATAGGTTTGAATTATTGTTTAAATTTTTTTGTTACAGTATTTTCTTTCACAAAATTTAAATTTCTATTCAAATCTATGAATCAAACGAGTTTTTATTTAGTTTTGCGCTCTTCTCTTAGAATCCCATTCTTTTTGATTTTATATATAAATGGGGAAAGTCATGGCATAATAATTTTCCTCTCCTTTAAAAAAAGACGTAAAGTCTGTTTGGTTCATAGGTTTAAACTGAAAAGTTTGGATACAAATTTAAATTTTATAAGAAAAAACAATATAATAAAAAAATTTGAACAGTTGTTGAATCTATAAAACAACGCGTGAATAAATCTTTATATATTTCATCGTTAGAAATGCACAACTCTAAATAACATTTTCTTTATTCCCTTTAATATTGGAGTGAGTTTACTAGTGCCCTAAAGTGTTATTGGAGAGTATGCAAATCCAAAGGCTTGCCCTTTTTTTATGGGTTTCAATCTACTAATATAGATTTTTGTGTTTCTAAATTCTAATCTATAAGCCTCTTGTTGTATGTGGCCATGTTGACTCTTATCCTCTCTTCCATAAGATTAGGATATTACACTTTGTTCTGTCTTTTGTCTCTCTCATTAAATGAATAATGTGGTCCCCACTCTCTCTCTACATATGTACATTACATACACAAGGGACAGGAATGTGGGATTAGCAAGGCAAAGGAATGTTTCTGACCCATATTTAGATATTGAGAAACTTGTTCAAGACATTTATGAACCAATATTTGGTGTGAAATCTTGACTATGCTACTGACTACTTTGCCCCTCTTTGGAACATTATTAATTCCTTTGGCCACTACCTTGAGACAAACGCCAAAGGAAGCACGTTTCAATTCAACCATTACTTAGTGTTTTTTTTTTTATTTCTTTTTGGAATTAAGGAGATGTTTGATTCATAGATTAGAATCATGTTATTAGAATCATTTTTAATTTACGTGTATTTTTTGTGAGAGAAAATACTGTAGTGAACTATGAACCATGATTCAAATCATAGTTTGAATCCTCCAACTAAACATCTCTTAATTCTTAATTAAATTAGTAATTACTTCCAAAGTTTTCTGATTTTTTTTCCTTTATAGGTTCTTTGTTATTTTCCCCTTACAAAGCCAGATTGAGGCCAAATAGTTTTTCATTTTTATTTAAAAAAAAAAAAAGAAAGAAAAAACTCATCGACCGTGAAGGGCGGTCCAAGGGTTGGGGCCAGTAGGGCACACAAAGTACCATAGCACCACTGCCTATGTCCCTCAAACCTTACATGACATGTTTTATGTCATTGTGACTTGTGGTCCACTCATTATCTTAGGAATTCATGCCGTTGGAAAATTCACAATTAACATAAAAAGTAAACTCTGTATCAAAATTCTTATCACAATTCAAACTCGTTTTGTTACAATGAGTTTTGTCGTTTTGAATTTCTGTTCAAACTTAAAGAAAAAGTGGCCTGCACTAATTAAAGTGGTCCCACACACTAATGTTTTATTTATTTTACCGATTTAAATTTTAAGTTTTAAATTTATACAGTTAAAAATTCTTAAAAAATGTCACATCTAATTTTTTCTACTATAATTAAAAACTCTAAAAAAATATCACATCTCAACTCAAATTAAAAACTCAAATCTGCATAACGAACGAAAAGCATTCACTTTTAGCCGTTGATATGGTCCCACAAGGAAACACATTTTGTTGCTAATCAAAGTGGAATTTAGCAAGGACACACACGTTGGCCCTATAGAATGCATTTGATTACTCGCATCACCAGAAAGTGTTCATGCATCCTCTTTTTCTTTCTTTCTTTCTTTCTTTCTTTTTTTTTTTTAAGAATAATTAGCAATCACCAAAGTCAATTAGTACTCAGTTTTTTCCCTCTTATTTATAAGAGTTGCCTCTTAGCATTTTACGAATAAAATATGTTGGTGTATATATAATATATATATATATATATATATTATAATAAACACCTGGCCACCTATGTTTTTGCCTATATAAAGGTTATTAACCTGAAATTAAGCAAAATTTCATCCTCATACAATCTTGAATCTTCCGATGAAAATCGTATACTCTAGAAATATTCACAATTAATATATATATATATATATATATATTTGTTTTCCATTTCAAATTTCTTTGATGATGCTACTAAAAATGCGTACCATATAATTATTATTATACTCAAACGAGATTACTAAAATATCTCAACATGTATTCTTTTGTGCGACTTGTAGGCAGCATCACTTGATCAATTACTTTTTCTCATCTTTGCCATTTATAAAAGTTGTACAGAATATTTTTTGTCATCATATTGTCCTAGTAGGGTAGAATACAAACGCAAAATCTACAGTATTTCTTGACATGCACTTTTCAAAATGATTTTATTTTTTTGTATGAAAATAAAAATAAAAATATTTTTAATCTCAGACAGAAATTATTTTTAAAAATGTATTTGATAGTTTTATCAAGAAATTTTTTTAATATAAAAAAATCCATTAATGTTTCTCACTCACTCTCTCTCTGCTCGAGAGAGGAGAAATTAAAAAATCGTTTTCATTTCTCTTTTTTATCTTTAATTGTGCTAAATACCGTTTTAGAATCACTTTTATTTTTTCTTTTTAAAAAAACATGTAAAATAAAAATAAAAATAATTCTAAACAAAGCATTAAAGTCTTACATTTCAAAAAAAAAAAAATGAAGATGAAATATCATCTGCATGATTGAGGTCCCCTTAAAGAGAGGTTCATTTGTCCAACACTATTGTCCTTTTTCTCTGCATTGCTTTCTTGGATTCCCTTATTCTCTTTTTTCTCAAACAATGCGTAGAAACAATTTTGAACAATTAGATTTTCATCGAGTTGAAAAGTTTCGTTTAATGTGTCGTAATTTCTTTTTATCTAATATAGTTATGATGTAATGCTGATTTAAAATTGTTTCTTATCAGTAATTCTCTTTCTTCGTTAAAAATATTAAATGGTGTCATTTTCTTCACTGGTCTGAGGTCTCCCAAATTGTCAACAAAGTAGGCAAACCCAGTTCCCATCTCCATCGGTAAGATCCACCAAAACCCATCAAAGGGTCGTACCATCAAAATTCATCCACGTGTCACTTTCTTGAGTAAAGCGTGGAATGTTTAGTGGGCTAGCATGCAGGGAATCAAATGCAAAAAAAAAAAATAATAAAAAAAATAAAAGCCAAGAAAGAAAGGTATTTTCATACCTTTGGATTGAAAACAAGATCACTTAAAAGTTACACATACCTTAAGAAAGAAGGAGAGAATATGATACTAAAAAGAGCATTACTGCGTAATAAGCTTTATAGTGATATCTTTCTCTCTCTTTCACTCTCTCTCTCTCATGGACCGCATTGTCAATATCATACACAAAAGGTACAAATTGGACAACTCCATGCACCAAAAAGGAAAAAAAAAAATCAAAAATCAAAAAGCCTATTCTTCATCACTACTATATTACATCACTTGTAATGAGAAAAGAAAAACCCAACTTTCCAAAAACCATCATTCTGCTAAAAAGCAAATAAAAACCAGTTTCTGAGTAACACTTGAAAGATTTTCTTTCTCACTCATGTGACCCATGGCAACAAATCAAAACCTCAAAGATCTCCAATGGCTTCTCATTGCCATCAAATCCGAGAGCCTCAATTTACATAACATCTCCTTCTACTTCTCACAGCCCACTTCTGGTTGTTACCAAGAAACAGAAAACTCCATGAACATCAACATTTCAAGAGACAACAATAACAGTAATGTCTCAAACTTCTCTGAGATCTTAACACTTTTGGCAAGTTCTAAAACCTGCCAATCATGTCTGAGAAACTTGGAGTTCCACAAGGCTGAATGGGAAACACAACAAGTGAAAAGCCTTGGGGTTTTGCTTGAGAGAAACTCAAGCATAAAGCAAGTTGTGTTTAGGAGAAACAAGTTGAGCAAAGAATGTATGTCTGAATTATGTGAAGCTGTGAAGAGAAATAGAGTGATTAAAGAGATTGTTTTTTGTGAGTCCGGAATTGGGCATGCGGGAGCTGAGCTTCTTGCTTGTTCTCTGAAAGTAAATGAAAGTTTGGAAGAATTACAAATATGGGAGGACTCAATTGGGTCAAGAGGATCAGAGGAGCTCTCAAAGATGATTGAAGTGAATTCAACACTCAAGTTGTTGACAATCTTCGACTCGAATTCCATCACAGCGACTCCGCTTATTTCCGCGGTTTTAGCGAGGAATAGGACAATGGAAGTCCATGTTTGGAGTGGAGAAAATGGGGAGAAAAGTTCAAAGGTGGTCGAGTTTGTGCCAGAAAACAGCACACTTAGAATATACAGAATTGACATTTCAGGTGCCTGCAGGGTTGCTTGCTCTCTGGGGCTGAACTCGACCGTGAAGTCGCTTGACATGACCGGAGTGCGGCTTAAATCACGGTGGGCTAAGGAATTCAGATGGGTTTTGGAGCAGAATCAAAGCCTTAAAGAGGTTAACTTGTCAAAAACTTGCTTGAAAGACAAAGGAGTTGTTTATGTGGCTGCTGGGCTATTTAAGAACCGGAGTTTGGAGAGCTTGTATCTTGATGGAAACTGGTTCGGAGGCGTTGGAGTGGAACATTTGCTTTGTCCTTTGAGCAGATTTTCCACATTACAAATGCAAGCCAACATTACTCTAAAATGTTTGACATTTGGTGGTGGAAGGACCAAGATTAGAAGAGATGGTCTTGCAGCCATACTACAGTTGCTGACAACCAATGAGACTTTGACTCGGTTAGGTATATACGACGATGAGAGTTTGCGATCGGATGATTTTGTGAAGATCTTCAATAGTTTGCAGAAGAATGCCTCCTTGAGATACTTGTCTTTACAAGGCTGCAAAGGGGTTCAAGGAGAGTTGGTATTGGAAACTATCATGGAGACACTGCAGGTGAATCCTTGGATTGAAGAGATCGATCTTGCGAGAACACCGCTGCAGAATTCAGGAAAGGCTGATGGAATTCACCAAAGGTTGGGCCAGAATGGGAAGAGTGAACCGGAAATGGATACTCTTAAGGACATGCCTCTAACAGTGCCAAAGAGTTGTAGAGTTTTCTTCTGTGGTCAAGAATATGCAGGTAAGTTAACTTTGTAACTTATGATGTTAAATAAGGAGAATTCTTTGGTACGATATGAAAAAATACCCTACCGTAGAACATAGTTCTTAATCACTGTATTTTTATTAGGTTTCGTCAAATTGTTATACTTTATTTAATCTGATATGCTTCTAGTTTTGATACGACACTTAAATACAACAACAATAAGCCTTAATTCCAACTTAATGATGTGACACTTAAATACTGTATCTAATTTGACTTGACGGTTAAAAGATGCATTCTACCGGTATAATATATTTTCATAATCTACCACATAATATTCCGTTGAATAATCGAACTTGTCTTTGAGTTGTAGAGTTTTCTTCTATGGGCAAGAATATGCAGGTGAGTTGACTTTGTTAATTTATGATGTTGAATAAGGAGAATTCTTTGGTAGAAAATGAAAAGATACCCTACTGGTAGAACAATTTTTAAGCGTCACATATTCATCAGGTTTTGTTAAATTTCCATACTTTATTCAATCTGATATGATTTTAGTTTGATCCGACGTTTAAAAATTGTATTTGATTTGACCTGATGGCTGAAAACTGTGTTAAACTGATATGGTATTTGATGGAAACTGAAATGAATTTGTTGGTCACTTCCATTTTCAGGTAAGACTACACTATGCAATTCCATATCACAGAACTTCTCCACTTCAAAGCTTCCCTACATAGACCAAGTAAGAACCATAGTGAATCCGGTCGAACAAGCTGTTAGAACAGTTGGAATGAAGATCAAAACTTTCAAGGATGAGGACACAAAGATCTCAATATGGAATCTTGCTGGTCAGCACGAATTCTATTCCCTCCATGATCTCATGTTTCCGGGACATGGAAGCGCGTCATTCTTCCTCATCATATCCAGTCTGTTCAGAAAACCAAGCAATAGAGAAACAAAGACTCCAATGGAGATAGAAGAAGACCTTCAATATTGGCTAAGGTTCATAGTCTCCAACTCAAGAAGAGCAGTCCAACAATGCCTCCTACCAAATGTGACCATTGTCCTCACACACCATGACAAGATCAACCAACCATCACAAAACTTGCAGGCTGCGGTACACTCGATCCAAAGAATGCGAGAAAAGTTCCAAGGCTTCGTCGAATTCTACCCTACTGTCTTCACAGTCGATGCAAGATCATCAGCATCGGTCAGCAAACTCGCTCATCATATCCGAAAAACGAGCAAGACGATTCTCCAAAGAGTCCCAAGGATTTACCAGCTTTGCAATGATCTAATCCAAATGTTATCAGATTGGAGATCAGAGAACTACAACAAGCCTGCAATGAAGTGGAAGGAGTTCGGTGAGCTTTGCCAAGTGAAGGTTCCACCGCTAAGAATTCGATCGAGACATGACAACAAAGAGAGAGTTGAAATGAGAAGAAGGGCAGTTGCTACTTGTCTTCACCACATAGGAGAAGTCATATACTTTGATGAACTGGGGTTCTTGATATTGGACTGTGAGTGGTTCTGTGGTGAAGTTCTTGGCCAACTAGCAAGACTTGATGTGAGAAGGCAAAGCTCAGCGGAGCGAAACGGATTTATAAGTAGGAAAGATTTGGAGAAGATTTTGAAAGGAAGTTTGCAAAGCCAGATTCCTGGAATGAGTTCTAAGGTGTTTGAGAACTTGGATGCAAGTGATCTTGTGAGAATGATGCTTAAACTTGAACTATGTTATGAACAAGATCCATCAGATCCTAATTCTCTGTTGTTGATTCCATCAATTCTTGAAGAAGGAAGAGGAAGGCCACAAAAATGGCAAATTAGCAGTCCTGAGTGTGTTTATGCTGGGAGGCATCTTGAGTGTGATGATTCAAGCCACATGTTTCTCACACCAGGATTCTTTCCTAGATTACAGGCAAGTCTTTTTGCTTCTTTTATCTCTTTTTCCCTTTTCTTTTTCCAAGTTCTATAAGTGGATTTATTTATTTATTTATTTTGAAAAAAAAAGAACATAGAAAAAAGAAATCATTTCCCTGTCTTAGGCTTGCGTGTGTTTGTAGGAAAAGAAAAAAAAAAAGAAGTGAAAGCAAAGTATAAGAGACAAAGGTTAATATAACCTTAGAAGAAAAAGATGCAAAGGTTAGAAAAGGTTGAAGTTGATTACTTAGATGCTTTTAAAATGAAATTAGCAAAAAAAAATGTGTTACTTATTTCATTTTACCTTATGCCTTCAATTTAGCTTGTTAATTCATTCTAAATTATCATCAGCACAAATAAATTAGATGGTTTATTTGCTTCAGAATTTTAGCTTTAACATTTCAAGAATCATTAATATGTATGAGTTGGCCAATACACTAGTTGAATTTGTTATGTAATTTCTCCTTTTGCAAATAAGTGTATATCATTACCATACATAATGGACATCAATAAAGTAGATTTACTTTGAGGCTCAAATTTATAATTCTATTACTGCAATATGAAAACTTCAATTGCAGAACTACATTTTCAACAACAATTTGTTTAACAAAATCTTTTTGTGTTTGTTTTTGTTCATGGTTTTTTTTTTTCTTGTGTAATTTATAAGGCCTATTTGATCTCATTTGTTTCAAAACCCAGGTGCATCTTTATAACAAGATCATGGGGTTAAGGAACCAACATGGTGCCACTTACAGCCTTGAGAAGTACTTAATCTCCATAAACATAAATGGAATCTATATCAGAGTGGAGCTAGGAGGACAACTTGGTTACTACATTGATATTCTGGCATGTTCAACCAAGAACATCACAGAAACACTTAGGCTGATCCATCAGCTCATAATACCAGCAATCCACAGCCTCTGCCATGGCATCACCTTGACCGAAACCGTAATGAGGCCGGAGTGCGTGCAAAATCTGACTCCCCCAAGATACAGGAGAAGTCAGTTTGTCTCATTGCAGGTGTTGAAACGCGCATTGCTTTCGGTTCCCGCGGATGGCATGTATGATTATCAGCACACCTGGGATGCAGTTTCCGACTCTGGAAGGACGGTTCTATCCCCTGGCTTCGATTTTGCCCGAGACCTTCTATCGGAAGATGACTTCCGCGAGGTGCTGCACCGGAGGTATCATGATTTGTACAACCTTGCTGTGGAGCTACAAGTCTCGCCTGAAACTAATCCAGATGGATCAGAGCAGGCGCTGTCCACGGGCGATGATCATGAAAAAGTTGATCCTAGTTTAGGGGGAATTGCCAAAGGCTTGGAAGTAGTTTTGCAAAGGCTGAAGATCATTGAACAAGAGATCAGAGACTTGAAGCAGGAGATTCAAGGGCTGCGATACTACGAGCACAGGCTCTTAACCGAGCTTCATCAAAAAGTCAACTATCTAGTCAACTACAATGTCCAAATTGAAGAGAGAAAAGTTCCCAACATGTTCTTCTTTGTTAAGACAGAAAACTACTCTAGGAGGTTGATCACCACCATGATCTCGGGCATGACTGCTCTTCGGCTGCACATGTTATGCGAATTCCGCCGAGAAATGCACGTTGTTGAGGATCAGATGGGGTGTGAGATAATGCAGGTTGACAACATGGCTGTCAAGTGTTTAGCTCCATACATGTCAAAGTTCATGAAGCTGTTAACATTTGCTCTCAAGATAGGAGCTCACCTAGCAGCTGGAATGGGGGAAATGATACCGGATTTGAGCAAGGAAGTCGCCCACCTAGCGCACTCGCCCCTTCTCACTGGAGCAGCAGGGGCGGCTGCAGCCGGGGCTGTGGGAGCCGCGGCTATGGGAGCCGCGGCTATGGGAAGGAACAGAAGCAGGGGTGGGGACACAAGGGATATTCAGCAAGATCTAAGAACAGCACAGCAGTGGGTGGTGGACTTTCTCAGGGACAGAAGATGCTCAACTGGGAAGGAAATTGCAGAGAAGTTTGGCTTGTGGAGAGTGAGGTATAGAGATAGCGGTCAGATTGCTTGGATATGTAGGAGGCATATTCACCTCAGAGCTCATGAAGTTATTGAAGTCCCCATTTGAATTTATGCAAAAGTAGAAAAAATGAAACTTATTTTCTTTGCAAATAAAAGTGGAATGATGCTTTAGGCTTTTGAACCTTGTATATATAGGTGTGATTTTAATACTTATTCTAATATTTATCTTTCAGTGAGTATATTTATTTTAACCGAAAGATATTAATTAAAAAGTTATAATAAATCGAATAGTTGATTAAAAAAAATCTATGATAATTAACGACGCCAATGATTTTTTCTATATTCAATGGGAAATCACGATATATATATATATATATA